CCACCTGGGGGATACCGGTTCTCCAATCACAAGGCAGAGGTTTCCTGGTCATCTCTAGCAGCTCGTTGAAGTGTCTTGAACTTAACCTGCACTAAAATGAATTCTCTGAGGAACTCGTACTCTACCGTCTCTGCAGGGGCATTAAAAACACACCTGCCCCCTGCAACAACAAAACAGCTCCAAATCCAAAGAGAATTTGCTATGCAGGCTGCCTGGAAATCGAAGTCACTCAAGAAGTATAGCTGCTTCTGCAGAAAGGTTTAAAATGACCCAACACATGTTTGTAAAAGTGATATGGTCAGACCTTACTCGGAATTGCAGGCAAGATGGATCAAAGGCAAGGGACCGCTATCATAGGTCATTGTACTCCCACTCACAGGGAGCAGGAACGGGGGAATCAGAGGACCACAGGATGGCGTGAAAGAGGATTAGCTGAGTGAATGAGCCATACACGCCTCAGACATGAACAAGAGAGTTCTCCGAGGCTCAGAAGAGGAAGGTTCCTGGACAGTCACACAGCTCAAGGTTCTGGCTGCTAATCCAATGTATTTTCCCCTAACTATACCACTTCTGGAGCCAAGGTCAGCTCAGGGACCTTGATCCAAGGCTCAGAACTCCATCCACACTGAGATAGCGCACCTGTAAGTGACCCCGTGGCGACAGATCTACACCCTGAATCCAGACGCCCCCTTTCTCATCCAGTACAGTGTGACCCTGAGAGGTGCCTTGGTTCCTTACTTGCAAAACAAAAAGGTTGTACCAGGTGTTGTGTCTTATCGTTTCAAAAATCCCTTCTGATTACCCCATCATGGACCTATAATAGTCAGACCTTACTCCACTGTATATTCACCTCGTAGGATTTCAAACCACTTCTGAAACTAAATCGAAGGTCCCAACCAGCTAAGAGTCTTTGTGCTTCAAATGACTGAGGCCCATGTCTTCATCTCATCTAGGTGAAAATCAAAGATTTGATAGTGCAAGAGGGGGAAGCCAGGAGCTCCCCAGGCACCATCCCGGGGGCCGAGGGGGACAGCGAGGGTACTGGGTGGCTGAGGGGCCCACACGCTTCCTGCTAGTTTCCAGCCCAGCACAAGACACCAAGGCACATCCCTCTCCCCAAAAGACACATTTTCTTTCTCCTTACTCTACACAATAGAAGCAGGACGATTCCCCACCTGCCACCTGGGAGCCAGGCAGGGGCCAGGCCTGGGGATGAGGGGCAGTGCGGAGCAGAAGTAAAGGACTTCTCAATGCTATCTAGTCCTGAAGTTCAGGACGATTTTCTGGGGTCACAGCTTCTGACCTTGGGCACATGAAGGACTCTGAGGCTCAGGCCTGTTAATTTTTTATAAAACCAGGCCTCTAGCAGCCTCCCAGCTGCCATGAGGACAAGGTAGAAGGACGGAGGGGTGGTTCCTAAGACATTAGGTAAGGTGCTCAGTAAACATGGGCTTCCTCTCTCCGCGATGAAACAAGCCTAAGCAACTTCATCTCGCTCTATCATGTGCCTCCGCTTGCCCAGGTGAATGTTTTTCCAAAGTCTCCCAAGTTTCTGCTCATTAAAACAAAACTATATGTTGGCAATCTGCGAGTCAAAGCAAGAAGCCAAATGCCGCCTCCGTAAGCATTTGGATCAGACAGTGCTGGCTCTGGGACCTCAGCATCACCTCCCCCACAGTCCCACCCTCATCCTCCTACAAAACTATTGTCACACAGCTCTGACACTGACTGTTGATATGTTTATCTTGACTGCCAGGTGGCAAATGCCTTAGGGACTAGGGACTGTAGTCTTTAGCCTCTGCTGAAACACCACCTGAAGGTGTCTGGCACATGGCAGTAGGTAAGCCAGGTGCCTGTGGGGTAAACCAAGCACCATGACTCCCACCACAGATAGGATACTTCCAGATGAATCTTTGCACTCACTGCATTATTTTTATACCAAGATAAATGATAAATGATACAAATGCTATTTGATGTTGGCGAAGTATTAATAGAACTCTTTAGTATCTGTTCCCACCCAATCATTTCAAAACATTCAGTTTATTACCCCTCCTCACATATCAAAACTTCCTTGAAATACTAGTTAGATACTTTAAACACAACCTGACATCAGCAAACTTTTTTTAAAAGGATGAATTCCATAGTAAAAAGTCAAGAGCTACTACCATCTAGTGAGCATTTTACTGTTGTCTGGCACTGGGCTCCATACGTATGTGTCTTCTCTTGCCTAATCTGCATAGCCAGCCAGTGAGAGTATTGTCCCCATTTTACAGATGAGAAAACAGGCATGGAGAAGTGTTTTGCCCCACGTTACACGGCTAATGAGCAGATTGGACTCCCATCTGGCCTGCCAGTGATCTGTTCAATCCATCACCTTCCTGATTCTGGGGAATCAGGAGAAACAGAAATATAATTAAAAGTCTGCCACCCAAATCCTGCCCTTTGGCAGTTTTCCATCCAGCTAATAACCTGCCAGCAACTCCCACACTGGAGCACTTCAGAAGATTTCCAGAGCTTTCTGCATTCATTTACAGAGTAGCCAGGAATAGTCTGCAACCCAGGAGCAGAAACAGACCATTCGCTCCCATGTCCACCTTGTCAAGCCTTTTCCATTACACAACGCCTCACTCACATTGGTTCCTTTCTGTTCCATTACTCATGCTAATTCCATGCATTATTCCTGGCTTCTGGGACCTTTCCACATGGACTTAGATGCCTCCTGCCCCACAATCTTCTCATCCGTTATCTTCCAGTCCTGTTTCCATACAGCACTGGCCGCATTTGGGACAGCAAGAAATTGGGGTTTGCTGCAAGGCACCATAAAACATTGCACGCTGAGATTACATTTCCCCCAACACAGGAAGAAATCAAGGCCAAAACAAGGCTACCTTTGAGAATAAGGGGGCCAGATTGGTGATAGCTAAAGGCATTTTGAGAGACAATGCCCGCCTTTCCCTCCCCGATCAGAAATGAAAGGCATGCAGGGTGAAAGAGGAAACCACTTGCACCTCCTTACAAAACGGAATTCCAACCCCAAATATTAGATTAGCCCTTAGCAGCCCCCTCTCAACCAACGGGATGGAAATCTGAGCCCTTTACAAGAACAGTCAACGCCTGAACAGGAAGACTAAAATCGGAGGTGGACGTCTCTGGCCAGGAAGCCCTTGGTGTCTTTTGCTGTAACAATCATCTTTCTTGTCCGTGTGGGAAAACACTTGGCACAGGCCCATAGTCCATGGAAAGTCCTGCTTCCTCAAAAGAATCGCAAATTTTCAGAATCCAAGTCTAACGACCAGAGTCAACACCAAGGGACAAACAATTCCTCGGATGGTTGGAGAGAAAACTGGGCAGATAGGCATAAATAGCAGGGTCTCCCACAGTCGCCAGACCTGCTAAAGAGACATTTTTAGCCAAAAGAGATATTGATGTTTGTTCTGATGATATCTGAAAATCCTTTAAGTTCTACCAAACCAAAATCCACTGCCTTGGAACTCTGGGAAGTGCACACACAGGACCTGAAGTCCAGAGACCGAATTCCAGCCTAGCTGTGCTTATATCCAGCTGAATGACTCTGCAAGCACCAACTTCCCCCGCCTCAGTTCATTCTTCTGTCCAATGGGAAGAATCTCAGTTTCATAAACTCACGCAGTGTTGTAAAGATCCAGTGAAATAGTGTGTGAACATCTCTCCTGTTGGTAAAATACTTTCTAAACATATTATGGTAGAAGGGGATCATTACACTTTATATTAATTTCACTTAACAACACAGGTAACCCTGTAAGGTAGACATGATCATTTCCATTTTTATACATGAAAATGGTCTTGGAGAAATTGTAGA